GTGATCATGCTTGCTGATGTATGAAGATACCTGTTATTGTTATTATTGTCTTGTGCTCACCTATCCAAAAATAGCAACTGATTGATGTCATTAAACCAGTTCCTATTATTTTGTTTGTGGTCATGAAATACAGTGTACTCTCCAATTCGAGACCCCTCTAATTCGAGACCACTGTTTTATAGAACTTCAATAATCTTCAATCTTTTAATGGTAAGCTTGGAGACCAACCCTAGGACCACCCCAAATGTTCATGTTCCAAAGGCGGTAACGAATTGGAGGGCAAACAGTATATATTTTGCAATATAGTTATTTTACACAATTATTTTCATAATACTATCTGGTGGTCCATTTATTGCCTTGGTTGCTTTAAAATCCAGACCACAAAAATAATGACTCTACATAGAATAAATAATCCTAGGTATATACAATAATCTAAAGATAGTAAAGATTACTACTACCATTGTTGCAAAAATGCAGGTAGTGTATTATTACATACCTGCGTTGAGAAATAACAATATAAAATTTGCCCTAAGTGCTTTTGCGTCAGTGTTCAAGAGTAATAGAGTACCACAGTCGGGTCGTCACGATGCCAGGTGGCACTCTCTGTTGTCAACGGACGTTAGTTACCGTTCATTACGCCTGAATGACTTCATAGGCTTTCTGGAATAGGAATTTTAAAATCTAATATTTTACCTTTAAAATGTACTAAAAACACAAAAGCTCGCATTATATTAGTTATCAAACACACATTTAATCATCAATTAAAATTTATAAAGAAAAAGTAAGATACAACATCTTAACAATTATGTTAGAAATTGGGATCAATGGTTTGTCAGTGAAGAAAATGGTGTCTGGTTGAATGCTTTTTGCAACGATAGCAACGGAGTAGTATCACATGGTATCGTGACGTAACACTGTAGTACTCTATATGAATTTTTTTTTTTAAAGTTATTTTTATCAGTTTATTTCTATTAGTGCACACCTTCAAAAGTCAAGGTCATCAAACCTACAATTCCAAGATTTTCTGTTGCATAAGATTGTCTGCACCAATAATGTAGGTGCCATTCAACAATTTTGATAGAAAGGGTGTGCCCAAGTATTTCCTTTTTGAGGTGTTTACCAGAAGTGTTTTTTCTCATGCTCATTGACCTGTGGAAGTACCTGCTTCATATTGGCTACCTTTCCAAAAATATCTAACGACTGACGTGTGTAAACCAATCTTAGAAAAGTATAGTAGTATATTTTTGGAATTAACCTTGTCATCAGCTATTGTGTTTGATTTTTATTGTATGAAACTTTAAAATGTATAATACATCTAGCCTTCATAAGCTGTATATTCTATTATTTTTCAATCATGACTTTTCATCATTTCAATAATTTCCTCAATTTCTAAGTATCTTGTTGCAAGCAAGGACATGGGTTTCTACATCAAAGATAAATTTTATTTTGAGAATCATAAGATATGGAGCTGTAGCTTGTGGCTCAGGTCAAAGGGTATGGAATATCAAGAGGTCCGACTACCGGAGTTTCTTTGAAACGCAATCCTAATCCCGAAAAGTACTACCAAAAACTAGATGGCATTCTTCAATAGAACGTAAAAGGAATATCGAATGCATGCTGCATTTGTAGAACACATTTTTGAGTTTTAAACGCTATTCAAATTCTAGTAAGGTGCCTCCTATCATGTGGTTGCACTTTGTTTTTCGTTTCACTGCGTGCATACGAAACAATAATATCAGGAATTTATAAGGCGCCAATTCCAAAAGAGATCAAACGTGCACAATCAGGGTAGTCGGATTTCTTGCTATTCTGTACTCTTTACTCAGATTCTTTCCTTACACTCCTGTGCCCTTGGGTCGAGCTCTAGTGTCCTAGTTGAGTAATTGTGTTAAAAAAGCTAACGTCTTAACAAAGTAGGCTGAGGATGCAAGCCTTTCTAGGTGGAGGTATTTCCCCTTTGATGCAGGGGTGTATCCAATAGGGATCTGTTTTGCCACTCCATTTTAAAATGTTAGTACATACAATGCCATATATTGACAAACTAAAAAACAATGACGTCCCCCCCCCCACCAACCCAATTTGAAAAAAAAAAATTATGATTTTCTGCTCCCTGTGTATATTTTAATATTGAAAATTTTCAGGTTGAATGTAATTGAAAAACTTCAGCACTTGACAAAGGTTGGTAACCGTTGGTAATAATAGTTAATGGTACTAAAATCAGTAGTTGCTGGCATCTCAGAACAATAAAAAAAAAGAACTTGTTAATTTTTATTGCACACTTGTTGGACCTCGAAGACGTCATACACTGCTTAATGAAATCATCACATAATATTTCTATGAATTCCATGCCACAGTAACCGTAGAATTTCTAATTAATTGTAGGGTAGGTTCTTTGCTCTATGGTCTACAGCACTACAGACGTTCAGTGACCTTATATAGTGCTCCATCTATTTTTTTTTTTTTTTTTTTTTTTTGGTCAATACCACAACCAATAACAAAAACAATAAAGTGATTGTAGTGGAAGAAATCATGTACTCATGAAGGGTGGTGAGAAATCTAGTCATATCCGAGGCTTTTTGTGGGAGCAGGTCAGCTGATTTTCAAAGATGCTCTAGGAAAAAAAAAATCCGAGATATTGGCTTTGAATGAGGCATGCAGTGTTAAAAAATTGCCTTTTGATAGGCCATCCCTACAAATTATAAGAGATTTCCTGCATAGTTACTGAGCATCTCACATTGTGTAGGACGGTCCCGCATTTTTAAGTGATTTTGTGTGAAACCTGCATTTTGCAGAAACACATGCGTGATCATAAATTTGTCAGGCATATGTGTGATAACAAATTATCACAAATTCAGGGGAAAATCTATTTAAAATTAGAAGAAATTGGTTTTATGAAAAATATAAATACGGTCATGCAGTAACTTGAGTCATTAGAAGGCTTTCGTTATCTCGTTCGAGAATCAATTCACTGAGAAATTTCTGTTTCCCGACCAAAACAACCCCAGCCAAACATGCACTTAGTAGAATCTAGGAGGTGCGTGTAGTCTTGCACGTTCATTTTTACAACCAACTGTTGAATATTTGACTGAAACCCGGACCCCTACCTGGACACCCGGGGACCCTGAACTGGTGTATAGTCACACATTTACTCAGGTTGGTAACTAGGTCCCCTGGTGTAGCCCACCCCCAATAATTAGTCATAAGCCAAAGGAACTAAAAGTTGGAAGAAGCCATTTCCGGGAAAATCTAAAGTGGTTGATCCAGGAATTTGCGGGAGATTCTTGCTTGTTTGCAGGAGTGCGGAAGGTCGTCCCGATTTCTTGGAGACTCCCGCGAGTTCCGGGAGACTTGGAACTCCTGATAAACTGAATCATTTTTTTTATACCTTGTTTAGCGAACCCGCCGACTGCAAATATTGATGATTTCGAGTAAAAATAAAATTTATTTTTGGCCAATTAGTGCTCCTGCCGCCACGAAAAAGTGGAAATTTCAGGGAAAAATTATTACGCCCTCCGCTGTCTTGAAATCTCCAAAGATAACATATAATTTCTTCCTAATTATATAAATTTGAAGCATTTAACAATCCTATTTTATACATTCACCAATAAAATTTCATTTTTATTTTCTCCTCTGTCTGGATGATTTTGGCAAAACTATTTGCTAATTAAGAAAACAAAATTTTAATTTTAGTTTTATTCTGCCCTCCACCAATAATCATTTAAAAAATAAGTATGCAAAACAAGGAATAAAAAAAGTCTAACCTTAGTTAAACAAAATTAGTGAATACATTGCACAGTAGGATGGTGTCATTCTGTATAAAAGTTCATTTTGTGCTAAAATTCGTTCCAATCTCCTGCTCTGTAGCCCTATTTACTCAGTTTAAAATTAACTTATAATTCAGTTCAGTTTGTCATTAATGTTTCTAATTCATTTTAATAATCTCACACATCGTTCCCCAAAGGTCTGATATTATGCAAAACCAATAAGTTAATTGAGCCACATGGGAACACAAGAGGGCGGTATTCATGAATTCATAGTAAAATCTAAGATCTAGCAATTTGATCATACAGTACTCTCTTTATTGTTATGAATGTTTCTTTATTCTATTTTTAAAAATTTTATTTAGTAAATGTAAAATGTGGTGTGTAGATAATTATAATTTCTTGCGTGTGAAGTTTTGTACTTGATGTGCCAAGTTCCCAGTATGTTTATGTTTAGAAACTTTATACATATACGTTTTTGAGACTGAATATGTCGGCAGTACAATTTGGGTAAAACCCCTCAAAAATACAATTAAAATATTGAATTGGTCATTTGAAAGGTTTGTGAACTTTCCAACCTATCAAAAATAATCAGTATGCTAATTTACATAATTTTTGCTATAAAAATAATGAAACTGTCTGCCATGCATGAACTAGGTCTCATAACTGTAATTTATTTTGTACTATTTGTTAATAAGATAATATTGTATCATATATATGTTTGGATTCTTGTTTTGATAAGAAAAAATCCAGTTAAATTATGAAAATGTAGTCTATTTGTATTAATTATATGTTACATGTTATCTTTTTTATTATTGTTGTTAACCAGGGACACATTGAATTTTGAAATGTGTGTATAATAATACCACACAAATAAATATAATAAACCTACTTATAATTGATAGTTCTCCTAACTGGTCCCATTTACTATTTAAAAAAGCCCTTGCGAGTTGAAATTGTTTATCTAATGTAATCTAACAAAACTTAATTGCCTCTCTCATAATCACCATTATGCTTAATCACCATTGTTATTGTACTAGCTTTTAATCCCCTCATTTAAATATTGTAGCATTTTTTATAATCACTGTCTAAGTTTTCTCATTCCTGATGATGACCCAATAAAGGTCAAAACGTTGAATCATGGCCTCCCTCTCTTTATTCGGAGTAACGTTCATTTTATGCTACTTAGTGAATTCGACAAAAGAATATGCTTATTCAAAAATGAACACATGAAAAAAAAGTATATAAATATAATAAATTTTTTTTAATGCAACTGACAAATAATTATGAATCTTAACATGAGTACTCCTGGGCCTCCACCCACCTACATCACAACTGTGTCGCTGTCACTTGTGTGTCTACGTGCGTGCAGACACCGTGATTCCGCAACTAGATCTCATAACTGTAATTTATTTTGTACTGTTTTGTTAATAAAATAATCATGTATCATATATGTGTTTGGATTCTTGTTTTGATAAAAAAACAAAAACAAAAAAACCCTGTTTTGGAAATGTAGTTTCGATTTGTATTAATTATATGTTACATGTTATCTTTTATTATTGTTGTTAACCAGGGACACATTGAAATGTGTGTATAATAATATCACACAAATGAATGTGGTAAACCTAAAAAAAGTGTGTGACCAGCGGTCAGAGGCAACATGAATGTTCCAGAGGCATTTTGGGGGGAAAATTCAAAAAAATAAACTGTTAGGCTATATAGCGTACAGATCATATCAATTTGTTTGGTCCACTTTACTGCAAACACGCCGCCGTGAAAATCACCCTATCTCTTAACCATTAGCGTTTCTTCAAAAATATTAACTGATTTTACTACAAAAATAGTAACTCAAAAACTAGAGGTCGGATAACTTAGGTTGAAACTTTTTATTGAAGATTATAAATATAGCTAAGTCCTGTAAACAATTTACAAAATATCTGTTTTCAAATATTTAGCTCTGTCATTTTTTGGTTTATTTACAAAAATATAAGCAATATTAGCGTGTTTTCAGCGGGATTTCAGCCGACTTGTTAGGAGTCGTTTATTTACAACGTCATAACTTTGCCTATGCCAATCCATTTTCTTAGGTTGAAGCGGCAACAGAAAGGCAATTTCTTGTAATCAGTTATTAAAAATAATCGCATTGGATAAAATTTTCTTCCGTCATTTTTGCATTCTTTCAAAGGCTTTCAAGAAGAAAAATGACCAAGCATTAATGCTTATTCAAAAAGGAACACATGAAGAAAAGTATATAAATATAATATTTTTTTTTTAATGCAACTGACAAAATATGAAGTTGAACATGAGTACTCCTGGGCCTCCACCCACCTACATCACATCTGTGTCGCTGTCACTAATGTGTCTACGTGCGTGCAGGTACCGTGACTCCGCAGGTATCTCTCTCACGCCCGGTAACAAATTATCAATAGAGAAACAAGGAAGCAGCAGACTACAACCTAAAATCACTTCATAACACATTTATTGTATTAGAAGTTCATCTGATTGAGTTGCAGCGGTGACTGTGAGCATATAGCCCCATTGTTTCAGGCCGTCAGCTATCTGCAAGTAAGCATACTGTCATAGGGGAACATAGCTGTTTAATCACAGGAAGCTGTTTTTAATGTATTCTCCCAGTTACTGCATGTACTGCAGCTACTGCATGTATTACAGTTACTGCATTATTGCACCTTTGTGCTATCTATTTTTTCACCAGATACTTAAGTTTAATTAATCATGATATTTACAACAAAATATCAGCAAATATTTTAAGTTAGTGAACGGAACATGTGCTTTTTTAAGTAGCACTCAAAATATTGGTGTATTCAAATATACTCAACAAAAATTACATGTAAAGTAAACAAATTAAGTAAAGTCCATCAAACTAAGAATATAATTAAACTCTAAATTTACCTATGTCACAAATCAGTTGAAACAAACACAACACATAAACATTACACAGTAAAGACTTTTTAAAATTATCTGAACAGTAAAAACCTAATTAAGATTTCTTTATGCAGAAAAAGATATTTTATTTTTACATGGACTGGTTATGAAAGTGTGCTTGAAAATATAAATATAATTATTGCAAAATGCCACATTTATAATCATTTAATTTAAAAAGTATATGAAATTATTCTTACAGGGTACAGATGGTAATTAAAGTGGACAGCTGGGGGGGGGGGGGGGGGGGGGGGGGGAGGGGTATATAAAATATACATATTTTTATTTATAAAATACTATCTAATATTTAGCAAATACTTATGGGGTGATGTTGGTTAGTTTTTGTTCCTTAATGTCTGTGGTTACCAGATTATCAAATTCTTTCTCTTTACATTTGGTCTGATTAAAGAGGGTATTAAAATAATAGGTCCACAAGCCAGGAATGGCTCGGAAGGAAATTACATGGAGCAGTGGGAGTTGAGTACTTTTATGATACTTTGTACTTTTTTTTTCGTAGAACAATGAATGGAAGTAGGTTAGGTATATGTTTCACCATCATTTTTTTTTCCTGGGGAGAAACATTTAATCCTTGGATTGAATGGAAGGCTGTTAGCAGGTCAAAACTCACTGAAATTTGCTTCAATATCTTTGGATTTCAATACATACCCTGTTCATAGTGAACAATTTGGGAATAGAGCGTAAATTGGGAAGGTGAAAGTTTCAGTTGTTGAGAGAAGCTGAAAATAGACCAAAGCAGACTGGATAGTAGATATTATAACAAAAATTATTGAGAACGCAACCTCTGTAGGCGATAGATAAAACATATTAAGAAGACATTTCGCTGTGTAGACAGTTGATAAATAGGGTGTCAATTTAATCAGGTCAAACCTTTCACTTATATTTTCTTGCTAAAACTTCACCTAATTCATTTTAATTCGTATACAGTAATGAAGTCAAGACTACAAAAATCATACACAACCTATGATATTTGTTAATTTTCTGGCATTTTTAAAATCATCTTCTCATGACATAAAGGAGTCATATATATTCCATTTTATTAAGTTTGTAAAGGCCTACCATAATTGTAATTGTATAATACCTTTTTCTTTCCCTATTAAAGAAATATTTGATAATGGTGTTTTTAAGCTATGTTTCGAAAGGAATTTTAAAATAATTTTTATGGCTTTTTTTATTTACCTTGTGGTTGGAATGTATTCTAAAATAATAATAGATTTTAATGCTGGAATTTAATGTTTGTTTTCAGATATAGCAAGGAAGTGGAGAGCATCTTCAAAGTCAAGTGTCAAGTTAATAACTATGGTCTTTCAGCCGGATGTTTATTGAGGAAATAATTTCAGTATGTTTTTAGTACCAATATATTGCTTTTTTTTAAAATTAATCATACATAATATATATACTGTATATATACTGTATATAATATTATTTTTATATAGAGGAAAGAATATTCTGGCTCAATAAAATCCTCTCTATTATGTCAATGTATAATTTCATCTTTGAATCTGCTTGTATTATTTGAATAGAAATGGTTTGTAATTGTCCACAACAATACATAGATAGCACATTATATGAGATTTCTTCCGTATACTTTCATATAAAAGTATTATCATGGATTCTGAGTCTGTTCTCCTTCTTTTTGCTAGACCCAGTTTATTACATTTGTTTAGCCCTTGAGGTCACACTATGTTTTAAGCTATGTCAGACTGATTTATGCCCATATATAGTCATGATGTGATGTCATCATGACCATATTTAGGCATGTCACATGTTTTTGTCAAAATAGAACCGTACTATTCTGATATAAGGCGAGATTTTTTTCATACCTTGCTTCTCGAAACCTGCCGCCCGCCAATATTGATGATTTCAAATAAAAATAAAATATCATTTTTGACTAATTAGCGCACAAACTGCCATGAAAAATTGTAAATTTCAGAAAAAATATAATTTTTACCTTATTTTTGTTATGCCCGCCACTGCCTTGAAATCTCCAAAGATTTGTATATTTAAGTTCCTAGTTATATAAATTTAAAGTATTTAACAATCCCATTACTACACTGATTCAATGATAATATTTTTATTTTTATTTTCTTCTTTATCTGGATGTTTTTGGCAAAACCATTTGCTAAATAAGAAAACAAAACTAGTCTTTAAAGTACTTCATGTCTAGTGTTTTATTTACGGGACATTAGGGTTATGGCACCCACAGCACTTTGTTATAAATTGCAAAGATACTTTTTTCAATAATTGTCATTTTGTTTTCTAAAAAGGATTAATTATTTTTAAAATATTAAGATTTAGCAAATGATTGTCATTTAAATAAAATGTCGGTCATTGTGGACCTCTATCAAGAAATTTTTGTCTGTCACGTTGACATAATTTAATGTGCGAAAACCACTTGGGCAGTGGAAGTGGAAAACTCACAAAAATTCCATGACACTTCCTTCAACTTTTTTTAATGATACACCCTATTGAACCTACACTGTGTGAAGGTAGACTTTCAACTTTGTGGCACTTATTACAGGAATAAAATTTAGTGCGTCAATACAAAAATTTATTTGTTGTACAGTACCAATCATGGGCAGTGCACATGATGTAAAGCGCTTAGAGGTTAGTCTACCATATGCGCTATATAAGTCAAGAATTATTATTATTATTATTATTGACTGAATGACAGGCTAGAGGGCATGCCCATAAAAATAAATAGCATTTATCGGTTTATTTCTATGGAACCTACACTGTGTGAAGGTAGACTTTCAACTTTGTGGCACTTATTACAGGAATTAAATTTAGTGCGTCAATAAAAAAATTTATTTGTTGTACAGTACCAATCATGAGCAGTGCACTTTTTGCCCGCACATTGTTTGCAGGCAAAGCATTCCACATCGGCCAGTTGTCCGCGTTCTGGAATAACCACCAAGTAGTTAGTGGAATAAGCAGTTAGCTAGCAGGCCGATTGGGCCAACAACTGCAGTTTGCGCACAAGTTCGTGAAATAAGGTATATACCCTACCCCATTCCTTACCCTGGGACTATCCCCCCAGGGCATGGAAGAGGTTGTACCATTGTGTATGATTGAATAACATAATAAGCAATTACTTTAGAAGCTAATATAAGTTTCCTGTTTTTCAAATTTAATAAAAAGTATACATAACATGGAAACCATATGTGTGTACCATGTAAACTGAAATGACGTCCTTGATTTATTTACTCCATTCACTTTAATATCTTTTTTACCCTCTCCATCCACCTCCCCAATGTATATAAAAATACAAGGAGGGTTATGCAAAATTTTTGGTGAGAGGTTACAATCATTGAGCGTCACTGATGAGAATGACCCAGGGAAATGTAAGGTCACATGTGTTGGTGACTAAGACTTAGGAGTTAATAAGTGGATTTCCTAATTCATACCTTCACTGCTGTCATCCCAGGCATACTTGTATTAAAATTCTCTATTATTTTACACTATATAATTAGTGACTTATAATGCCTATATGATATTAATTGTAAGTGTTTTTATTCAATATTTATATATTGTATGGTACTTATTTCATGGGTTAAACTCAAACCAAATGTAGCCAAGTCCAGCTAATTTTTGTATTTATGTTTTATATCAGTGTATATATTTTATCAATATAGTTTTTGATCCGAGGACTCAAAATCCTAGATGGTGTTTATATAGGCCTATTAAGGTTATAACCCATTACGTCATAATGCGTGTGTGCACTTTACCACCATCTGCAACACGGTACCTGTATTATTTTAGGACCTTAAAATAGTCATCCTAAATTTCTTAATATGTTTGTTTAAATTACTGTACTTACCTTCAAATGCTAAAGATCTGTCTATTCTCAAATAGATCCAATATTATTCCTTTTTCCCTGAACAAAAAAAAATTATCTTGTATATCAGTTTCTCGAAGGTGTAGAAGCGTTTAGGAATAAGGAATTAACTAAACCAGAATTATTCTTGTCAGGTCAAACCATTACAAATAAAAAAAAAACTATTTGAAAATAAAAGTTCTGAAAGTACATTTATATTTGTCTACAAATAATTTTTTATGTTTTAATACAAATACATTTCGTAGAATAAGAATATATTAATTACAAAATTAAAATTAAATTTATATAATAAAGTTTAGAATTTGATAACTAGATAGATATTCATATATTAAAAAATGGAATAGTCCAAATGCATGTTCTTTACCTTTTCAAAAGCATATTATTTGTTTTTCTTGGCACACAACAAAAATGTGAACATACGGGTAAATCCCTACCTTTTGTAGTAGACCAGTGATTTCATGCTTTTACACCTCAATTGCGAAATACACAGTCATAAGGAGCACTTTTGTACTTTTGCATTGTATGGTTGTTTAAAAAGCATATAGGTCAATACATGATGTACACTTTATATTCAAAACTACCCTTTGAGTAAACTTTTAAGATAAATACATTCATATTTTGTATGCTAGTTTTTTTGTGAAATGTGCTAAAATTTAACAAATAAATGCATAAATATGTTTGTTTATTTTGTCATACCTGCTGCAATTACCCAGTTTAACTTGCTCAGTTTTAATCTGTCTTTCAGAACAATTCATATAAAATGTTTTATTTCAAACATTTTGAACGCTAAAGAAGTCGCTCATTTTGAAGGACTGAAAACTCAATAGTAGCCTACAGCAAATGTTTTTTCTATTTTTTTCCCCAAAAAACTATGACTAAGCAGAAAGTTTCCAGGAATAGTTGATTCCCACGATCAACCAGTTCTTTCTAGATTTTATATCACCTACAAACCAGAACACCTGTCAGTTGATAAAGATCTCTGATAGGGATCGAAACATTCTGAGTAAAGCCGGTTACTCACTGCGTGCGACAGCGACGCAATGAAGAACGCACGCAAAGACGGGGACCCAATGGGATGTCTTTGAGGATCCATTCAGATTGCCACTGACAATCAGCAGACGGCGTTGCGTCGTCTATCGCTCGCCGGAAGCGAATGTGGATTCGTCGTGCGATGGTCGTACGACGCAGTGAGTGTCCGGCTTAATCGGTCCAGAGGATGTTGTACCCCCTTCACTCTCTTTCTCTCAACAATTGTGGTAGTTCACCCAACTTCACTCCTTTGGTAGTTTAGTAAACTCCATCTCAAATAAAGTCTATCATAGTTCCACTTGATACCACATCAGTACAAGACTCTGGTAGCTCCTCCTGGTGGTACCTTAATCCAAGATTCTGGTGATAGCTCCTTCTGGCGTGACATCAATTCAAGACTCTGGTTTCGTATCTTAATGCCGCCTCGATCAGGCCCGTAGCCAGGTTCATCCAAGGTCTCTTATACACATCAGATGTGTATAAGAGACAGGTCCACGGTCGAAGCCCTGGTGGGGTCGGCAAAACCCCCAGAGCAAGAGGATTTTTGTGCTTTATGGGTCTAAACAATGCTATAAAAGCAGATATGTTTGAAAACGTCTGTGTCTGGGTGGGTCTGCAGTGCATTAGTTGGGTTGGAGGACTTATTTGGGAAATTTGAAGAGGGGGGTTCGCCAAAAAAGAGGGGGTTTGCTAGAAAAGGGTTTCTCCCGAACCATCCCCCCCCCCCCCCCTTGGATACGGGCCTGTCAATCATGATCCAAGACCCGGTAGCTCTTGTTTCCGGCTCAATGCAAGACTCACGGTGGCTCACCTATCAGCATCTCAATCCTTGGAGCAAGATCTGCTACTGCCGTTTGTTGTCATCATCTCATTCCAAACCATTCTAGCTACTGGCGCAACCTCAATACAAGAGTCCAGTAGGTCCACTTTAGACCATCACAGTCCGAGACCCTTATTTGTCTTAACACCTTTATGCAAGACCATGGTAGTACGTGACTTCACCTCAATTCAAGACCTTTGTAGTACCGGCATCACCCCAATACAATGGACCCTGGTTACGTACAGTAGTACATGACATCAGCTTAATACAAGGACCTCGTAGTTCCTGACACCACCTTACTCCATAAATAATGAATAGGCCTACAATTATGTCAGTCTCTAATAAAAGGCCCACATTTTGAAATTACAAAAAACACAGATCCCACAATGATTCAATACAATTCTTCATACGTAATACATCTTAAGGTTTGTCACTAAGGAAGGTAACTAAGAAAAAGTGTAAGAAATTAGCTTTCAGCAGATATAATACGATTGGCAAACTGCCAGTAGTGTACCTAGAGCAAAGTAAACTATTAGCTGGGTATACTGACAAAAAGCAAGTGGATTAATGATTGAGGTAGAAAGACAGCGAATGAAAGTGAAAATGCTTGCTAAAATGCTGACGCCGTTTGATTAACACAATACCTTGTATGCAGTTGTTCATTATTGTTAACCATGTCAAGTTTGGAATTGGAAACTTAAAATTAATGATGTTGAATATTTAAATAGGCCTATTTCAAATCCCGTTTGGGTTAGTCAAACACTTTTAGGCCTACTGCCTTTACTATCACGTGACAGTCAAACAGAAGAGTAAATTAATATTTATTGGTCGTATATTATTTCTGCCTCGCATTTGATTCATACTCGACATCATCAGAATAATTTCTAAGTTTGGACGACCAAAGTAAAGATTCTTCCATACGACTTTAAGCGATGTGATGGTTTGAAAAGAGTAGTTTGATCATCATTATCATTATCACCATCATATTATTTTAATGGTGATGTTGGTGATGGTGGTGACGATGGTGGTGATGATGATGATGATGATGGTGATGATGATGATGATGATGATGATGATGATGATGGTGGTGGTGGTGGTGATGATGACGACGACGATGATGATGATGATGATGATGATGATGACGATGATGATGATGATGATGATGATGACGATGATGATGATGGTGATGTTGGTGATAGTGATGACGATGATAATGGTGATGATAGTGATGATGGGGATGATAGTGATGTCATCATCATCATCATCACTATCGTCATCATCATCATCATCATCATCATCCTCACTATCATCATCTTATTTCGTTACTATGCATCCGTTCTTTGCTGAGTATACTTGCGCACAAAGACAATATAATGTGCAGTAGGCCTATACGGTACTTTTTTTTCTTTCTTCCTTTACTGCATGGATAGCTAAATGTTAACTAGGGACCTTTTTTCACGAAGAACAATGATGAATTAATGGCTATACGGTACTTGTTATATAGTTTACTTTTGAATATGCCTATATTTTGGCTTTAGCAGTGTGCCTCCTATAGTTTGACTCCTGTACTACATGAACGAACTTCTGGTTTTTGAAGAGAAAAAAAATGTTTGGTTTGAATTAAATTGAATGAATTTAATTTGAACAACGTATCATGAATATTTAAAGTTGATTTTTGTTATTCGGATATTTGTAGGGGTGTAATAGACCCTATATAATTTCTACCAGTTTTACGTTTCACATTATGTTTTATATTAGTATACGGTAGCGTCCTCTATCGTTTCCATTACAATGGTACTGTTTAATACTGTAAATTATAACAAATATTTGGAAACTTTCATCAAAATAATCGGTAATTATATTACGAAACAACATACATTTTACATTCATGCGTACAGGTAGAACATTTCAAACAGTCGCATATATATTTTTAGTAAATATATTATAATAGTAGGCCCTATGTTTATTGAAAATCTGAGCCACCCTATAGAACTTCAACTTATGCAGAAAAAAAAAGAATAATACAACTAATAAAATTGAGCGTGTGGTGGATTTTGGAATTTTTGCTGGGCTCGTGGAGAATCAACGTGAGCGAAATGTGGTGCTAATACATGCATGTCGCTTATCCCTCATTACATGGACTAGCGAAGACTGCTAGCAAAAGGCCGCCTACAGCGACCTTTTGCGAGGCTGTGAGGTGTGGTGTCGGGTACAAATATTTTTAGGAGGGGGCAGAAAGAAGAGAACTCCTGTATAATATAATAAGTTTAAATGACTTGGGAAACAGTCTTCTGTTTTGTTCCCGCCAACATTGAGAGACTTAAAAGCCAACAATTAGGCCTATTAGCCTGAAAATTATTTTCATAAATGACTACACCCTAAATCGGGGACGGATAAAAAAGATGTCTGAAAGGGGATGGGAGCGAAAGGGCGACCGAAAGTAGGGCCTATATAGACAACACTGCCCTAGGGGTGCGTCCGGGGTATGCCCCTGCGATTTTCTTTCTAAACACCCACTAAAAATAACATCTAATGCGTTTTGGGCGATAAAGTATTTATTTGTCATTCTTTCTCTCTTTTTTCATTTTTTTTAACTTTCCAAAAAACGGAGGGGGGAGAGGGGGAGGGGCTCTAAGTCCGCCCCTGACTAAAGAAGGAAAAAGCTGCTGACTATTTACCCAGCATCTGTACACTTTTTTGCCAGTTAAAAGGGGCACTCTATGTTAAGAATGGTGGGTGAGGGAGGTCCCGACGTCGACGACCGTCACTCCGTGGATCCACTCAAAAGTATCATTCAAATAATCGTTCTATGAATCCCAGTAGGCCAAATTCTGCAAGTATTGCCCTATTACATAATATTTTATAAAGTATTATAATGAATACCGCTACGTCTTTAACTATATTAGGCCTATATACCTTTGTAAAAGAAAGTCAAAATACCATTTAAAAATAAATGTTTAAAATAGATTGTACGTACATGTTAAAATGTTTAGATGGATGTAGCCCTTACTTATTCTTCACGTATTGACTTATATTATTGATTAACATGGTCTCTTTATAATACATTTTATTCCATTATATTAGTACATACGCGTTTGTATTAGCCGCTCTCACTAAAATGGTACGTTCCACTTGCCTTCTACGTACTTTTTTTTTTCTCTATTTCGTGGGGTCGTCCCACTTTTATTTATTCCTTCATTTCTTTGAGCATAACTATTGTTTTGTTACTATTGACATATTTATCACTTATTCTAAATAAGTAATATTTCCTTCACGTTAAAATTTCACATATCTAAACATTATACAATCAATACAATAATTTAATTAATCCAGACCTTTCATAAAACAATCAATGCAACAATGCATAATCACCTGTCAAGAAAATGATGATAATAATAATAATAATAGTAGTAATAATACTAATAATAAATCGATAGAAATTAAAAGTACCGTACTTGATCATAATCATTGTACAATCAAAGGAAAGTTTTCCCTTCCGAATTTGTATAGGAAGTAGATACTGTCTCTTATACACATCTTGATGTGTATAGTTAATACATCATATATATCCGGTTTGATCCGTATGTTAAAATTTGTCTCTAACATTTTAAGGTTAGTATTTGACCATTTATTTTTTGCATTTTCTTTGTTATTTAAATTCTACGTACTTAATAGACTGCTGCCTCCTTCACTGTACTGTACTAACGTAATTTGAATAATGAATTCTCACACGTGTTGCTTTTGTAGCGTGACAAGTCATCGTCCAATATTTTGTGGACTCGTGCTGCTGTAAAATTACGGTATTTTTTTTTACTATATTTTAATGGACACAAATAGGAACCAATAACGGTAAGACAATTTAAAAGAATGGTGCTACGATTATATTTCTTCCAGAGCTGTGCACGCGTCTGGACGGTAAATCGGCACAAATATTTCGTCCTTACT